GCCTACCTGTAGCCAAAAGATGAAGCCGAAAGCTCGGAATCAGTTGGATATGTTCCCTCGTTAGAAGAAACTAATGATGAAACGATAAATCCAACTGTTAATTAAATTGATATTTTTCTTATGAAAAGAATCCAATGAAATTTAAAAAAAAAACATTCGAACAATGCTGACTGATTGGACTTCCTTACTGAATTATTCTTATTCTATTAGAATACATTGAATATCTCAAACTGAAACAAAAATCTATATGATGACATTTTCTATGAAATATGATCGTTTTTTTTTTTTTGAACCTGGAGAAAATATTATAAAATTTAACATTACCATAGTTTCATTTATTTGTTGACGTAATTTTTCTAATGTTCTATTATATTTTAATTGATTTTGTTCAATTAATATAGTACGTGAAATATTTAAATCAAATAAACGATAACCATCAAGAAGAGCACTAATGAATTGAATAATAATTAAATGTATTGTACTATTTTCTAATTGATCTAATAATGATAACCAAATTTCATCAATTAAAGTATGCGTACATTCCGATATACATTTACGATAACTAAAAATTTAATTGAATTAAAAATCGACACGAAAATATAAGGTGGGTCAATGTTTTTTGAATAACTTTCGATATTGACCAATCAGATGAGTTCTTATTGGAAAGGACCCTGTCGGATAAGATGACCTATCCAGAATTGAAAAACCAAATATCCCATCTTGTAGAGAATTTCAAGGCGCATCCAATGGTATATAATGAGTCTGTTTTCTAAAACGTTTAGGAAGAGTTATGATCAATTTACTGGTGAAGGGGTAGGGTCCAAAATGGTAAAATATAGGTAATCAGTATAGTCCCTATAAATTAGTCGAAGGATGTCATAAAAAACATTCCTTATATACGGTTATGTAGAGTTTTTGATGGGCTACAAGTTTATATATCTAACATCTTTAATCACATAATATTCAGAAGATACAAAAAAGGTTGTTTCTTATCAACTTGATACTGTTTTTGATCAAAAGTGATAGTTATAGGTTCACTGTGATGAATGGCGTTAATCTCAGAAGAAGCACCCACGCCTCAAACTTTCTCAGAAATTGTGCCTTATATAGGGCTACAAAATGCACTATTTGATGGTTCTTCAACATGGGCGCAAAGTCCCCAAAATTGCCTTGCATTGGGAAATTGTAACCCATTTTTGCATCAATTTTTCTCTTTTGAGACTGTATTTCGATATTTTGACTCTCAAGAGTCGATTCTCATTCGAAATAAATATGGTATTCGGAATCAGCATAAAAAACTGCATTGAATAGTCTATCTTTTAACTAAATATTTTTTCCAATAAAATTCGACCCCTAGGGGACCACAGGGCAAAATTTAGAAAAAAATGCCTGAGGAGGAGTAC